TATATAAAACTACTGTAACTAAATTACTAAATTACAATGGCTTTAAAGTTTCGTAATAGTAGCATGATGTTAATGTAATTTTCCTTTAAAACTTTTAAAGGATGGTACAATTTTTGTTAGTATTATTCCTGTGCACTTTTTGAAAAAGAAAGCACGTTTGAAATTCAAATTTTTAACATTTTTTTTCACCAGGAAAATAATACAAAATCTTAAAGTCTTTAGCACATCAAATGCAATAGCTTTCAAAAGAGTAATATTTTGTTTTGGATTTTTAATACTTTATTGTATTTCATGTTTAGTATACACAGTATTTGCCATACTGCTGTAAACCTGACTTTTTCTTCCAACTCATCTAAAGAGTTTTCAGCATATGATTTTTTTGACATTTTGAAAGAGCATTTTCCCTGGCCAGACAGCTGAGCACAAATGTTGGCTCTTTAACACGAAGACCCTGCCGAGGTTTTTTCCACCACTCTGACTCCAAAATCTGGTCTACAAAAACAAATGAAGGTGCTTGTTTTGGGGCTAACCAGGGTGGCTCTAAAATCGAGCAAAACTCTGTCGAAATGCAGACGCTGCAGTACTTGCACTCTGCCATCTGGAAGTATTTTACACCTTTTAGATTGTAGTGGAATGTGTGGGGGTTGCTTTATTTTCTTGTACTTTGTTTTGATTGCTCTGAAACGTAATTACAATCCTCTCCATTGATATCCTGCTTTCGCAACCCTAGCACCACATCCGTGAAACATTCAGAGATTGATTTGTAATGAAAAAAGAGCAATATTTTTTCACTGTGAATAGAAGCTGTTGAGAAATATCAGGTCCTCAGAGAGCTCCTCCAGATGTGTTGATTCACTTGGAAGTTGCCCATGTATTTATCCACATGGCTAGCTGGACTGCTTGGTTTACTTGCGTTTAAAAATAATATGCTGGAAATGGCACAACAACAGTGACCCTAAGATTGGCTTACATTTTATCGTCTCATCAAACTTCAACGCAGTCTACTGCAAAAATTGTTTCCACCTTAGTTTAGTCTCACATGGCCATGAGCCTTTAGTCCAAGGCTTATTTAAGCTAATTGTGCGAAATGAAATAGCATTTTCAAAACATTTTGGTGCTATATATTTTTCAAAATTATAAACTAAACATTCTGTCACACCTGTGTATGATATTCCATAGTCATTAAAGGTTGAATTGATCTGCATGTAGAGATTGTAATATTGCAGAGGGCATGTTTGCACTCACATATTAACACTTTGAAAAGTGTAAAAACCAAGTACAGCACTTATTATTTAAAAAACCACAAAAACAACTTGGTTTTCTGTTTGCATTGGTTGTCCATTCTTTTAATACATTCTGCTCTTTTTTAGGAAACTGAAGCTGGAAAAAGAGTTAGCTGGGATGCTTTGGAGGATACGGTGGGAGGAACTCCAGTTTGAAAGTCCCAACAAATATCACAAGCGTGCAGGAAGCCGCCTCACTCTTTCTCAGGTACATTCTTATATCATTCTTAAGAATATTCTTATATCTTTTTATTCATTCTTTTTCTTTTTGGCTTAGTCCCTTTATTAATCCGGGGTCGCCACAGCGGAATGAACCACCAACTTATCCAGCCCGTTTTCATGCAGCGGATGCCACAACCCATCTCTGGGAAACATCCACACACACTCATTCACACACACAATTTAGCCTACCCAATTCACCTGTACCACATGTCTTTGGACTGTAGGGGAAACCCACGCGAATGCAGGAAGAACATGCAAACTCCACACATAAACGACAACTAATCCAGCTGAGGCTCGAACCAATGACCCAGTGACCTGCTTGCTGTGAGGCAACAGCACTATTACTGCACCACTGTGTCCATATCTTGGATAAAGACATCAAATTCTTCAAAACTGTTTGCCAAGTTTATGATTACATTACACATTACATATGGAATCACCAATAAAATTAAACAACAACCGTCTCTTAAGTTTCAATTCTAAACATCCGAATCAAACTAAATATGCATATTTTCAGATTGCCCAAGCTAATGCGTATGCGCACTCGAAAGGAACGAGACCATGACACCAACCTCATTTAAATGAGTTAATGATCTGGATAATGATCATCTGATTGCATTGAAAACGACCCATTGTGATGTGCGTTTGACAGGACGTACTATACCTTGTGTTCATTTCATACAGATTACAAAACCAAAAAACTTTTGCTTTCAAGTGCATTTGGTTCATTTAAAAGTACAAATTTTAAGCTTTATTTGGTGTATTTATTATCTCTGTGAAGGAAGTATTCGCTGAGACTCCAGCGCGTTTATTGATCAACAAACTGTTGTAAAAGCACACGTTTAAGTTTTTTCCCCAGAGATTCCTCGATCTATAGCAATCGATGATTGGCTCCTGTACTAATAGGCGGGGCTTCATTTTCCAAATTGACCGTTACATTTTTCCCCATTCAAAACTATATCAGTGACATGTCTTGTGTATTCTATAGTCTAATTAGTAACTCTAATTAGTTTTCCCGTTGACAAATGTAAATTCTTTTAAAAGGAAATTTATATTCAACAGATAATTGCTGGAATAATTTGTGGGTCAAATACAGAGCACAAATTCCTCAAAGTGCAAAGCAAGATGCTGCTGTCTGATGTGCTGAACATCAAGCCATTGTTTGCTCATTTCAGCAGTTTGCCAGCATCAGTATCATTTCAGTGATTAAAAAACAAGTGTCTTACTTTTAAATGTATTTATATATTTCTATTTCTAAACTTATTTCTGCAATGGCTGTAAAATGGGTTTAAATGTAATATCATATAGATATAAATTATACCTGTATTAATCTAAAATGATTACAAATGTTTTGCTTAAAAATCTCTTTATGTGACTTAGATTTTAGTGCTGGATTTTTGACCTAGCGAAAATAACACAAGTTAAATTTTTTAACCCAGTTAAACCCAGCTTTTTTAGAGTGTGTTTCAGCCCTTGTGCATAAGGTTTTAATTTCTCTAATAAAAATGCCTTTTTGGACTTGGCAGTAATTCCTGGCACTGTTTTGCCATGTCCATTTAAACAACCATTCCTTGGGGAATTACAGCGATGGCTTAGTCAGTTAGTCTGGTCAAAAATGGTAGCTTGATTTGGTTCTCAAATTCATACCAACATTAAATGTTTGCTTCTGTTTACTAATCTTGCTCTGCTGAAATGCCAGTCTATATCGTCATAATTGGTCCAAGAAGATGCTATTTTTTTTTCCTATTTGTTGAAATCATAATGATTTGCTATGGGTTATTAGCAAACATACAGATTCGTTTTGCTTCCCCCAACCCAGCCCCCTCCCTTTAAAATGTTGGAACTCCTTTCTAATATGTTCCACATCATTGGCCTGAATGTATGATTCATTCTACACCACTGCTGTTATTTAAATTTATATTTTAATACTTTTCTTCTCCTCTTACAGTTGTTTCTAATTCATTAATATTTAATGTGTTTTTTATTTGGTGTATTGGTGATTGTTTTGAGCACTTTGGTTCAGTCAAGCTGTCATGTGTAGGTAAAATCATCAGAGAAATCTTTTTATGAAGCATTAAAATGCATTTTCAGACATGAGATCCCTGTGTCTAATGGTGTTGCATTCTTTCTGTGTTTCCTTTCCAGAGAGGTTCCAGCTATGGCTCCTTGATAACAGCTCATGGAAAATATCAGCTATTTGCAAAAACAGGCTATTTTAAGGTAAGGCTGAGTTCTTCCTCCCTCTGCTGCACACCCACACACATGTGTATTCACTGGAGAAATGGAGAGTGGGTGCACTACCAACTCAATGTGTTGCTTTAAGATCACACTTTAATGCAGCTTTACAGCTCCTTAAGGTAAATCACCATGTTGTGTGTTTAAATGCCATAATAAGTGGATCACAGTCTTAAAATACCACTATTGAAGATGATAGAAAGAGTTTGGAGTGTACAGGCGTATTATTTTTCTAATCTTTACTAATTAAGCCTTGTGACATTGACTGTATGTGGTTGTGGAGGTTGTGGTGGACTGTATGTGTATGTGGTGGTTTATGTTGCTAAGCTTACAACTCTTAAGCTATCTCTAAAAATGTTCATTTGTTTGCTTATTCATTCATTCATTCATTTATTCATTCATTCACTATGTATGGCAGTTAAGATTCAATAGTTTGTATATACATAAACTAAGCATGAAACACATTTCTAAAGCTATTAAGTTTTACAGATAATATTTATTTAATTGTATTTTAAAATGTTGTAATTAGGTACTTTTAAAAAAAAATATATAGTATTAAATCGACCATAGCCAACATAAACTAACAGTTAAAAGATAATGTTAACGTCTTATGTTATGACTTGAAGTGCTTGTGTGTCATGAAGCATGTGTGAAATCAATCAAATTGGGTGATGGGATGTAGGATGTGAAGTATGATATTGGGACTTTACTATAAAGCTCACGCAAACAAAATAATGTCAAAGTCTGTAGCACAATGCTAGAAGTATGGCATGGTCATGCAGTGTCTCATATGTTCTCAGGGAACCATGGTTACAGTCTTAACATGAGCTATTCCATTTACATGGAACTCATACAACACTGGGGTTTATAACATCATGGTAATGTTAACAACTATGACAGTTTTTCTAGTGTGAATGATGAAGCACAGCTAAAACATCAGAAACAGGGACCATGTGGTGGAATCCATGTCAAGTTGATAAAACCTCATATACACAATCAAGAAAAAAACATCTTGTCACACAATATGTGGTGAATGAAAATCGTAATTATTGTTATATTTTCTGTGTTCATTATAATTCCCCATAATTATTATTTGACTAACAATTCTTTAAAAGATTTGGATTTCAAAAGATCAGACCAGAGGGTATCACACTAGTCTAGGCAGCTGTCAGAGTCTACCAAAAGAGCAGTTGGCAGCAGTTTCCATTCTAAGGTAACCAGCATCTCGAGTCTCTGGTGTGTTCTGAGTTGCAATTGTCCTTCATGAATGACTAATCTTTCTGGGGGACATGAAGGAACTAGTTACATAGTAAAAGTGCAATATTATAGAAATCTTAGATTTCTATCAATCTTTCAATTGTTTTAGAATGGCTCATCAATTAGCCGTGTAAACTGAAAAGTTTGGCTGCCATTTGAATAGGTTTTGTCAGATATTTATGGAATTTATAACCGTGTGCCAGACTTTCACCAATAAATTAGTTATCTGAAAAGTAGCTGAAAAAATGTAATTTTGAAACTGTGCATCAGAAATTATTTAACTCGATAATGTTTTAAAAACTATTTTACTCTTGTTAAGACAAATATGTCATGTCAAATATATCCTTGTCATGGTGTCACATACTATGTGATAATGTCTATTAAACTGATTTTTACATGTGCTTCATGACGCAATTCCATGTTGGCATTTCCAATACTTCCTAATATTACTAATATTAGGAATATTACGAACTAATATTAACAAAGATGCTGCTGTAAATAACGTATTTCTGATTGCAAGGTATTGGTTAATGGAATATTATTTTGAAATGTTACCTATGTGGCTTAGTGATTAGCACTGTCACCTCAAAGCAAGAAGGTTACTGGTTCAAGTCCCGGCTGAGCCAGTTGGCATTTCTGTGTGGAGTTTGCTTGTTTTCCCCTTGTTTGTGTGGGTTTCCTGCGGATGCTCCCGTTTCCCACACAGTCCAAAGACATGTGCTGTAGGTGAATGTATGGATGCTTTCTAGTACTGGGTTGCAGCTGGAAATGCATACGCTGTGTAAAACATATGCTGGAATAGTTGGCGGTTCATTTGAAATAGAGTTTTTTTATGAATGTTACCTAGGTCAAATCAAATCAAATCTAATCACTTTTATTGTCACATCAGCAGCAGCATTTGTGCTATGATGAGTGAAAAGCTTAGATGCTGGCTCCAGACAGTGCAAAATACAGAGTAATACAGTGCAAATACAACGACAGTGCAAAATGCAGACAGTGCAAAATACAACAACATACTCCCAAAAAACAGGACAATGTAAAATTGGCAATATTGACACCGATATGTACAATGAATAGGTGGGAACATAGTTGTAGGCAGTATTGTTTTAAGTATGGATTGGTTAAAGTGCATGCTACATATTGATGGTGTGAGTGGTACGGAATAGTTTGTGGGGGGTGTTTTAAGTGTTCATCAGCCTGATAGTCTGATGGAAGAAACTTTCCTTTAGTCGGCTGGTACGTGACCGAATGCTGCGGAACCGTTTGCCTTAGGGTAGCTGAGAGAAATGTCTATGGCTTGGGTGGTTGGAGTAGGTGGAGGTGTCTTAAGCAAGGGTTGATATAAGCTTAACCTAAGCTACACCAGTTGTAGGTGTGTTCCCTAAACTATACCTTACATTTGAAGTCAGAATTATTAGCCCCTCTTTGAATTATTATTTTTTTATATATTTGCCAAATGATGTTTAACAGACCAAGGAAATTTTCACGGTATGTCTGATAATATTTTTCTCCTGGAGAAAGTCTTATTTATTTTATTTCTTATTAATTTAATTATTAAAAAACATTTTAAGGTCAAAATTATTAGCCCCTTTAAGCTATATATATATATATATATATTGATAATCTACAGAACAAACCTTCATTATACAATAACTTGCCTAATTACCCTAAACTTCTTAGCTACCCTAATTAACCTAGTTAAGCCTTTAAATGTCACTTTACGCTGTATAGAATAGAGTCTTGAAATATATCGAGTCATAATATCATCATGACAAGGATAAAATAAATCAGTTATTAGAGATGAGTTATTAAAACTATGATGTTTATAAATGTGTTGGAAAAAATCTTCTCTACTTAAACAGAAATCAGGGGAAAAATAAACAGGGGTGCTAATAATTCAGAGGGGCTAATAATTCTGACTTCAGCTGTATATATACTGTAAACCTATTATATACCTCATTAAGGTATACCTTGTTTATGTGCGATGCTGCAAGATGGTGTCCAACTACACCGTTGCTAGGTGGTTTTTGAATTTAATTTAATTGAAATTCTTATATTGAAATATTTAGCTTTCTTTTAAAAAGTAGAACAAAATTTGCATAAAATTGTCAAATATCTGTTTAAGACCACAATATTTGCATTTGCCCCACAGACAACCCACTTTAAGCAACGCATACAACATATCATGCATATACAGTAGCAAAAAAAAAAAAAAAAGCTACAAGCCTCCCGGATTTTTAAGCAGCACATGTCCAAGGAAAATGAAATAAATTTGTTGGGTCACCCAACAAGAGCTTATTCTCCAAAGGAGCTGATTAGTGTAAAGAAGTGTGATGCACACTGAATAAACAAAGAAGTCACTGTCACCTCTTTGTCTGGCAGTGTAAGCTGAAAAGGACACTGAGGCATCAAATGTCCACTGAGCCAGCGGAATATTTCTGCTACCACTGTGGCCACTGACAAGGACAAAGCCACTGATCAAATTCATTATTGTGCATGTCATTATTCGTCCAGTGTTTTCTTAGTTTGTCTTTACAAAGATATAAAAAATAAAACCTTATTAGTGTTATTTATTTTGTTATTGATATTATGATTATTTTCATAGCTGAGGAGAGTCAGGATATTTTCTTCTAAAATGCATGTGCTATGAAATAGGAGTATCATATTGTGTTATGCTTATTTGTTCAGTGTAAAGTAAATAAAAATGACATTTCTTTCCAACAGTCTGTTTTTAGCGACTGTTCAGAATTACATTTAGTTGTTTTCTCTTTAACATCTATTTTTTTTCAAAACAGGGCAACCTGGTGGCCATCAAGCATGTGAACAAGAAGAGGATTGAGCTCACCAGACAAGTGTTGTTTGAATTGAAGCATGTAAGACAAATAATCAAATGAAACAGAGATGTAATGTCTGTCTTTTTAATTATTTGCGTGTAAATGTCCATCTTTGTCTGTATCTGGGTAGAGGAAAGAAGGCATGCTTGTTATGTGTGGGTTTAGCCCATCATTTTTGACCCCACTTGACAGCCTTGCTATCCAAGGTGGTTAAAGCACCCCCACCCCATTTCTACACACATATAAAACACAGACATGCATGCATTCTTTGGAGGGGGCTGGGAAGCCATTATGAGGCTATAAGCGCAGAGGTCGGGGAAGGCAGAGTGGTTGGATTTTACAAGGTGTTTTTGCTTGACTGACTTCAGGCATATGGCTTTGTTTATATGAACACCAATAATGAAATTGTTTACATGACACAAACATACTGATTATTATGTGAAGTGTAATTGTTATTTATTTACCATTAAGTTTGTTATACTATCTCTATCATATACTATATATTAGTCAAATCTCTTTAAGGCAAGTCATTTCACTCAGCAGTTATCTTTGAAATGCCATTCTAGTTTTCCAATACAATTATAATTAATAGTTGGAATCGCAAACAGTCTCTTAAATGTAATTTATAAATGTTCAATTTACACATGAACTCCAGCTCTATGCGCTCTAACACAGAACAAGATCACGACACCAACCTCATTTACCTGTTGCACAATCTTATCCTCTGTATGATAATCATGCTTGTCTTCTGAAGTAATTACCAACTTGATGGCAAATCTCCTCACAAAAGACTGGCTTCTTTGATTACAAGTTTATGGGCTTTCAAGTATATTCATGTGATATGCATTTGAATGACAGAGGCAGGACAGGATGGACTGTACCTTTTGTTCGTTTCATAGAGATTACAAAACCAGAGAACATTTGTTTAGATGTGTAGTTGGTGTTTCATGTTTTTTTTTTTAGGTAGAGACCTAAAGCTTTACATGGATGTGTCTGTGAGGCAAGTATTCCCTGAGATTTTAAGTTTTCTGATGCCAGAGGGTTCATAACAATGATACTGCAGAAACTGTCAATTGAGCTGCTTTGAATTTAATAAGGTACCAAAATAACACTGCTAAATTAATACACCTGATAACAAATAATAGATTTAAAAGACCAAAAACTGTCCGTTAGATATACACAAGATTTATTAAATATCATGTTTTAACTACAATGAAAAGATGAGATCCAGCGGTACATCCGAGATGGACTGGCCAAAGTAAAGCTGCTCTAAGCGGGGGAGGTGATGACGAAGCTCCCTTTGGTAAGCTGGGAGTCAGAGTCTGTTGTGCTGTGAGGAGTTCTTGTCTTTAATAAACTACGGCAGTTTGCGTTCACTGAACAGTAAGAATGATTAATAAAACGATTACATTCTCGCTTGAAAACTTTTAAAACTTTATTTTGTGACACAGTGAAGGAGTATTTTTAAAACCATGCGGGTTTTCTCCTCCACCATTAGCGATTGCTGGTTTAGCTGCAATGAAGGAAGTTTAAAGAAATATTTGCATGCATGGCATCTTGTTTTCATTCCTTTGTCTTTGTTTTCCTGCCTTTATGCATCTAATGAGGCTTAAAACTACCTATGAAGTGTTTTTTAAATAACTGGCAAGACAAAAGAAAAGCCACGTAGATGGGTTGTTTACTGTTTGTAAAATCAGGGACATTGCAAATATGCAAATAAGAACTTTAAGCCATGGTTAATGTACAACATGAAACACTAGTTAATGATTACCCACGATTACCAGTTAACCCCAGGTATGGTATGCAGTATGAAATCTGAATACAGATAAGCCAGGATTCTGCTTACCCATGGTTTAAATGACCCAGGCTTAGTAAATTCAAGTTAACAAAAATTATAAAAAGTTCCATAGTGTAGGCTTGTTACTGGCCATTGTTTTAATATACCAACAACATATTTAAAACAACACTCTATGAGCATAAAAGGTTATTTGCCAGTTGGTACTGTGACAGACATCACAGAACACTGTAAATTGGTTTGCCAATGCTGCATCTCATTCTTTGTGTAATTTTTGGATGAATATATGGATATATGAAGAGTGGTGTTGATATTGTTTTGCAATTCAGAATGGAGGGCACACTTTTAAAACATCAGTGTTCACCACAAACCACAAAGTCATAGATGAAATTTGTTGTCATGGATGAATTTTTGGTCAGTAAAAAGATAAGTGTGCTTCATTGAGGGATACCGTACTTTGTACTAGTACTAGGATTTAGGACTATTTTGGCACACAACGTACATCATCTGGGTATTTTTGTGTTCATGGAGAACTCACACAATATGCAGCAAAGTTATTAAGAATGACATTGTTGAATGATTTGCTGTTCATACAATGTCTGTCATTTGAGACCACTGTGATGAGGCTGAGCCAGATAAACATACAGTGAGTACAAGCTTCCCATACCAGCCTTATATGAAGCCTGTGTTTATTTGGATGGCCTTATCCTGAGGGAATGCTGATGAGACCAGCTGACTTTTGGCCAGTTCTAACCTGCTCAGCTTTGATGGGAATCTTGGGTTGCATGGCTTGGGATATGTAGTGTAAAGCAATAGTCTAAAGCAGGGGTGCTCAATCCTGTTCCTGGAAATCTACCTTCCTTCAGATTTCAGTTGCTACCCATATCAAACACACCTGCCTGTAATTATCAAGTGGTGTTCAGGTCCTAATTAGTTGGTTCAGGTGTGTTTGATATGGGTAATAACTGAAATCTGCAGGAAGGTAGATATCCAGGAACAGGATTGAGCACCCTTGGTCTAAATTATCCTTTCAGACAGTGAGCTTAGTGGTTTGGAGTGCATTTCCCAAAACTAATGTTAGATCTCAATTCCTTCATTACGAGCATTGTTCAGTGATTTGAAGTTTTCTTAATCCAGGGTTTCTAACACATATTTGCAAACAGCTTTGCAGTCTTATGTGGTTGGAATCGCATCTCTAGATTTGTGGTCAAGCATAGTTCCTGGTTGTGTTCCATTCTGAGTTATTCCCCCCTAATTTCTTATACATTTCAAACACTTTACTGTTCTCTTATTATTGACTTTAAAATATTAAAGTTGTCTTGCTCACATATTATGTAGTTTGCCTACAAAGATAAATTACAGTTCAGTTTTAATGATCTTTTACATTTATGCTGTTTTGAACACAGCCATAGCTCATGAAGAAATTAGATTCACATTGAAAATCTATTACATTTCCAAAGCTTGGGAAAAAACATGTATGTTAATGTTTTTAATTTATATTTGTACTGTACATATATGCAACATTTCTGCAGTGTTTTGCATATCATGTCAAAAAGTTGTAAATGACTTGCCTTGGCATTGCATAGTTTATTTACCGAATGACACACCGTACTATAGTAGTTCAGGCACACCACTGGTTAGTGGTGGAATTAGTGGAATGAGCCAGACAGATAGGGATCAATGAGACTTACCTTCTTTTCCTCTCATTCTTAGAAAGTTTAAAGGTTATGCATGATGACCAAATGTTGTCTATTTTATTTTATTGAGATTTTCTGTACATGTAGAAACCCAATTATAAGCATCCTCCATATTGTAATTTGAAACTCCTTTTGTTGTTATATGTATAGATGAGAGATGTGCAGTTCAACCATTTGACAAGGTTTATTGGCGCTTGCATCGATCCACCAAACATCTGCATTGTGACAGAATATTGCCCCCGGGGAAGTCTACAGGTAAACGGCTTAAAATATCTTTAATGTTAACTACTTACTATATAATATCTAGTTTTGTCATTAATACAATTGTACTGCTAATGTAGTTGTGGTGCATTTTATTCTGTTTATTTATTGGTTGTGCTTATCCCTTGTTTGAATGTACAAATCGGACAAAAAGTCTTTGTATTTAGATGCTTCTAAGTGTTGACATTCATTTTTTTTCTTGCACAGGACATCCTTGAAAATGAGAGCATCAACCTGGACTGGATGTTCCGATACTCACTGATCAATGACATTGTGAAGGTTTGTAAGAAAAACTGTGGACAAATTTAGAAATGTGTATGCTGTACAGAATAAGCTCTGTTTAGTCATATCACTCACACTTTAGCTTTTTTTGTTTCAGCTCTTTTAATACACTTTTTATTTTTAATATTGAAACTTTATTTTATTTTAATGCATCCTATAAACAAAACATGCCTCTTTTAATACATTAAAATTCAGACAGGAAGCAGAATCTTGAAGTGTGGGCTAATTATTTGGTTTCAGATAGGAGCTCCATTAGTAAAGGGAAATGTACTAGCACATGACTGTTTTTTTTTTTTTTTTGTGGAAAAGATGTTGAAAAATAATTTCTTTCTGAATTCTCCCTCCATTAATTTAAAGCAATCTTTTGTTCAATGTCAAGGTACTTGAGTGCCTATACTCATAAAAGCATTTTTTGCTTAAAAATTTGCCTGCAACTACAATAAAGTAAATTACAATTAAACACACATTGCTTTTTTGATATGTAAAAACCATAGTTTGTTTTAGAATAGAACTTGTCTATCAGAAAAAAAAATTGTAGACTACAGCCACCTGAATTTTATTATTGACAGACATAATTCCCTTCAGTTGATTAGTTAATAAAATTGGTATTGTAACAAATAAGTTGCTGTTCAATATATACCTGTCAACACACTCTTTTTTCCTGGAAGTCTCTTATATTTTACATCATATTTCTCCCATTTTCTTTTGTCACCCGAATTTTGTATGGCCCAAAACTTACATGACTAACATCAATGTTTGGACAAGGTTGTCTTGTTGTCCTGACAATACACATCCAACTCAGAAAATCAATAACATGTACACTCATTTGTAACCTTAACCAGGCAACCAACTCTTTCTATAGTAGTTTAATTAAGAAATGTTGGTAAAAAGTTCACTCGTATGTGGTGCTCTGATGAAAAACACAATCAAATTTACAGGCAAGATTTTTAGACAAAAGGAGGAATCACTTTAATTTGATGGTCCCTTTAACACATATTGTTGAATTTAAGTTAGACTGCATCTACATGCCAACTAATTCTCAATAGATAATAAGTTGACAGTTAGGTTGGGGTTAGGGTTAGTGCAAATTGAAATGTACTTGCAAAGTTTCTTATAGTCTGTTAAATGTCTGTTGAAGAGGCAGAATCAGCAGATATTAAGCAGACAGTCTGCTTATAGTCAAATGAGAAGTAACTGGCATGTAGTTGCAATGCAATGTGTAGTCTTACCCAAAAGAATGATTAATTTATAAACATGTTTCACATATATCTTAATTTATGATCGGGAAAGGGATTTTACCACAGTATTTCCTATTATATTTCTTGGCTGGAATAAACTGCTAGGTCAATAGTCAATATTATTATCCCTGTAACATATATATATATATAGTTATATATAGAAGTATTCACTTCACTTTTTCCACATTTTTATGTTACAGCCATATTCCAAAAATGGGTTAAATTCATTGATTTCCTCAAAATTCTACACACAATACCCCATAACGACAATGTGAAAAAAAATAAAAATTTAAATAAAAAACCTGAAAAATCCCATGTACATAAGCATTCAAAGCCTTTGCTCAATACTTTTTTGATGCACCTTTGGCATCATTTGCCACGTTTCCACTATCGTGTCTAAAGGGAGCGAGCCAGGGTGAGCCAAGGCCAGTTGCGTTTCCACTTTCACTTCAGGGGCCTGATCGGGCCAAAGCGGGGCTTTTCTCAGGGCCAGCGGTTGGCCTATTTCGGCCCGCTGAATACCTTGGGCCAAAAAAAGCCAGCTGGGGCTTCGGGGCAGAGTAAAAGGAGAGGCAGACTTTGCCAGAGTCTGTATAATATGGCATGCCGTCATTACACTAGCTTTCCTATCGCACATGAGTACATGCGCCAAACAAATTAATAAATAAGGGAAAGAAAACATATAGCCTTATAGGCTATACGGGTCTTTTTGGTTATGATCACACTTATGTTACCCTTTTTAAATGTAAAGCTGTTGTATAAAATAATAAAGTCTTTAATTTATAAGAGACTTTTCTTTGCTGCATCCTCCTTGATGTTTCAATTACACTTGATAATATTTACACCACATTAAAGACACAGCAGACAGTAAAGGCTGTCGAGAGTTTTTGTCAAGTTTAAAAGGTATGCTTATGTGTGATACCTCTTAAGTACCTCTTAAGCTCTATCAGGTTGGATGCAAAGCGATAGTATACAGTAATCTTTAAATCTCTCCAGAGATGTTCAATAGAATTTAGGTCTGGACTCTGGCTTGGCCATTCAAGCACATTAACAGAGTTGCTGTGAAGCCACTCCACTTATATTTTTGACATTGCACTTTTTCCTCTATCCTGACTAGTCTTCCAGTTCCTGCTGCTAAAAAACAACCCACAGCATGATGCTGCCACCACCATGGTAACAGCCTGGTGATAAGCAATGCCTGGTTTTCTCCAAACCTAATGCCTGACATTCACTCAAAACAGAATTTTTTTTGTAACCTTCCCCAGGCTTGTGCCTCTAGACAATCCTGTCACTGTGGTCTACAGACAATTCCTTTGTATTCATGCTTGGTTTGTGCATGGACATGCACTGTCAACCCTGGGACCTTACATAGACTGGTGTATGCCTTTTCAAATCATGTCCAATCAACTAAATTTACCACAGGTGAACTCCAATTAAGCTGCTTAAACATCTCAAGAATGATCAGTGGAAAGAGAATGTACCTGAGCTCAATTTAGAGCTTCACTGCAAAGGCTGTAAATATGTACATGTGATTTTTCAGGTTTTTTATTGAAATAAATATTTAACAATTTAAAAAAAAAATGTTTTTCACATTGTCATTATATGGGGTATTGTGTGTAGAATTTTGAGGATCAAAATTGTGGATTAAGGTTGTAACAAAGAAAAATGTGGAGAAAGGGAA